CAGGGTGTCGGCCATCAATCACTGTCTCAGCAACTAATTTCTGACAGTTTAAAGATAAATGGTGTCTATGTTTGTTTAGCATATCTAATCTTTTGATTAATTTGCTTCTTAATATAAGCTAAAGATAAAGAAGGTAAAACAAAAAAAAATAGTTAATCCCTTTACACAAGATACCAGTATCCTAAGTACACTGTACATGTTTGCAGAAGTTTTTTGTGTAAACATAGTCAATCACTTTCTGACCTTTTAAAAATCAAGAAAAACAAATCAGTAATTTATTAATGTGGTGAACAGTGACGAAAATAAATTGCAGGTATGCTTTGGTATTCTACCTATACAAAATCCCAATATGTGATAAACACCTGCTGCTAAATCAGAGATACTAAATGGTAATATTTCCACAAGCCATTGCTAAACAGCAGCATAAAAAATATCCACTTTTCTATTGTGCAATATCCCTATTTTACAAACGAGTATGTGCTTAGCATAACAAGCATTTTATTTAGTACACGTAGCATCGTCTGTCCAAGAGGCAAAGACTGCCATTTAGTGCTGATGATTTCTACATAAAAGAGTTAAACAGAGATAAAAAAGAAGTGAAAGACAAGCTGTCCCCCTCTCATGGCTGTGATGAATGGCTTGATCACAACAGATTTTAGAGAAAATGCATGAGCACTGGGGGGGGGCTTCTCAAATGACATGAGTGACAGCTCACCTCATTTACTCCCCCGCTCTCTTCTACTAAATATTTTATACACACCTTTTTACACATGGATTTGTCATGTGTTGGGGCAGTGAAAATTGTTGTGTCTTACCACCGTTATTATAAAAAAGTAGTACCTGAAGAGAGGGCTAGAGAAGTGCTCCATGGAACACAGAATACAGTTCTAACAACGCAATAATATTACGTTTTTTAATGTCTCTTAATTCACTATGGATTTAATTTTGTATCACTGGAGAATTTTACTACATGTATTGACAAAATATTGAATTTATCAAATAATAAGCACAGAGGTACATGATGTATTGGAAATGTGATGTCACAATATTAATAAAAGATATGACATTACCAGTCACTGAATTGTCTATTTCAGCCATGAAGCTGGCAACTTCACTACACACAAAGGAAATTATCTGACAGAACCACTGAATGGAAACAGAAATGTGACGTGTATATGGACATACACATGTACTGTATATATGGTATGTTAAAAGACAAAGTCAAGATTATCGAGTGTGCATCTTATACTAGTAAAAGTGACAGTTTTCAGTATTGCTGTTCTTGTTCAATCTCATGTAACAGTTTAAAATACGTTCAGTTTACTTCAGATCACTTCTCAAATTCACAACAGTGAATCAAATGAATGGGTTACATGCTAGTTTTCTAATCATATATGATACTAAAATGTTATAGACCTACTATTGAATATTTAAGTGATATGTATTTTATGAGATTATACATGCGAGATCTTTGCTGACAATACCAGACGTTTAAAACATTTGGACCAAAGTGCTTATTTTGGGGGGATTTTTGTATACAAGTGGTCTTCATCCCTTTAGAGTGACCACCAGAAATCCTTAAGTGTTTTAATCCTAATCAGCGACAAATAATCATGTAATTTGGTTGACTGACTGCAAAATGCAGATCTAGAGCAATTGTTGTTTCTCTTTCCTATTTGGTTCTTTAACAAAACCAGCTTGAAGCCTCAATACCACAGAATGGTGTGGCTATTTTTTCTTCCTCTGTCAGGGTCATTAAATAGGGGCAGAGGGATAGTGAAGATGTTGGATTTGTTCCAAAATTGTGTATTTGGCAAGTGATTGCTTTGGAAAGCAGCCAAAATGGGGAGTGCTCTTCCAGGAGAACATAGAGCTAAGCTAGAGAGCAAGTTATCATTTAATCCTAGTGTCAACATAACTACAGTTATAAATTAAAAGCCTGGTTATCAAACAATTAACATGGATTCCAATTATACTAACTAGGATTTGTTTTTGCTTCTTTGCCTTATCCTCAATTATATTATTGTTAAACAGGCAAAACAAATTATGTTTGCTATCGCAGTTTACTAATGTGACCTTATTTGTCATTTGCAAGTTGAACTGAATTAACTGGGCTCTGGAATTAGCAAGTCAAATGTTCCACAGACCTGAACAATTACATGAAAATGGTGATGTGAGAACTATTTTGCAGAGGTGGCTAGAAATATGCATTTATTGATAAAGTAATCACAGACTACTTTAATTCCACTGCAATTAGTTTCAGAAATCAATTTCAGAAAATCCCACTATCACATCAGATTATTTCTGAGATTTAAAATGCACTGCTTCAGATGGTAATTGTTAAGAAGCAAAATCCAAAGCAAGTATACAGCTGTCTTATCCAGAAGGTGCAGGGTACATATCATGTACCCAAAGGGTGGTGAAATGCGTCATCATCCACATTGAGAAATTATATTTACAAAATGTCGTGGTCTCACCCTTCCATTCAGACAGAAGATAACATAATTAAGTGAGTAACATAAATAAGTGAAGATTAGTTACCGCCTTACTACTACTATGCATCTAAGTAACTATTTGATTAACTAACTATATTCTGATTATTCTGACTAGTTATAACTAAGCTATAATTATTATTCCCTGTACAGATTATGTACCTCCACACATGAAGTAATTAAAATATATGTAGCTCATATTCTGAGTTTCTTTATTCTATATTTTGTAAATATATAAATAAGGCATTTAAGTGTGTTACACATTAACATCCATACATTGCAGAGCGTAATGCACTGCCAACAGGATGTCAAATCAGTATGCCCACCTTTGATTTCAATCACGGTAAGCGAATGCTTTCTACAGTTCACAATAAAATGTCATTTGTGAATTATTCGTCTGTACTTTGATGCAAGAAACGCAACTCTGAGTGCTTTCGCTCAGCGAGCTTCCTAGCAGTCACAGCTTCCTCCAGACAGCATTTCAATAAGATTCAGCCCAAGCATTGCAATATAAAAAAGTCTAGGAAATAAACTGAAATAGCGGTGAAAATATAACATCAGAAAGGCCACAGATGAAAGAGTCAGCTTTTCCAGCTCATCTGGTTCCATTTTTCATTCATACCATAGCCAGTACTGGTTGTACAGGGAACAACATTCCCAAGGGGGAAATAAATTTGAAAATAAAAAATAAAATGCAGAAATATATAATGGAGGATATATATCACAATACATACATAAAATAATGTTTCAGTAAATGCTTATGAATATTTCTTTTCCATATTAGAAATGACATGATCAGGTGGTGAAATGGCTCTTCATAAGATTCTTTTGTTGGCAGCACTGTATGCCTCCAATTTTAATCCTGCAGTGCAGATGTGAAGCTACATGTGAACCACCTATGACTGAAGGCCAATTCAGTCAGTACCGTGTCCGAGTACTTCTCTGCTCTTAAATTTCTCTCAACCATGAAAATATTTTCGAATCCCTCAAGAGCTAGAGGAGCTCCACGATACAACTGAACAGCTAAAATGCATCAGTAGATATACTGCGCTTCCCATCATAAGCCGGCTTCTTTGTTTTTCCTAACAAACTTGCTGTCCCTGCCATCAGAAAAAATTCACTTGTTGACTCCTTAGGCTCAATGATCTCTTCAGTAAACTCACTGGGCTCTCCTTTGTAAACTTAGTTCAAGGTTTGCTTGACGTTTTGTATTTTTAATTGAGATGAGGACTAAACATTAGCCTACAACCCCCTGCCCGTTCAGGTGTCACTACTGTTGTTTTCTTACTGTGGTGATGTTCTAGATCTTAGCACATCATACCCTAGGCCCCCTGGAATTAAATGGCTGATTTGTTTACAAAAGTATGTGTCACTGCTCCTAAATATCTCATATAGAAAAAGTTCAGACAGCTATAATGCGGTATCTGAAAGACTAAACCGCAATAAGCGTATACTATTATATATATAAAAACATGCGATCAAATTTCAATAGTTGATGGCTTAAAATTCAACTTTATCAGGATTGGTATGTCAGTCAATTGGATATTTAGCAGTTTTTGTCATCATAAAGTCCCGACCTCTACAGATAACTTATGTCAGTGTGTGAATATTTTTGTTTCTGCAGTGCAAGTTTACTCTTTACACAGGTCCCACACTGGTCCAAAACGCAGAAGCCCAATGGAGAACAATACATAAAACAACCCCAATTATTACTAAAAAGTGTATTAATTTGAGGTAAATTTGTAGACCATTAATATATAGCTTAGGGGGTATTAAAATAAAAGAAAAAATCCATAACAAATACAGTACTTTAAGGCCAAAATCTCTTCCATATCAACAATGCATTTCCACACTAGCTCTCCACCTTGATATGGGAGCATTTACAGTTGACTGTCTCTTGCTTTTCTGGTTTTGTGCCAATGTGGGATCTTTAGGTCTCTTTTATACTTGTCTAACTGAGATGAGCATCCAATTTAATGAACTTTGCAGGGCAGAATACCTAACCGCACAGTACTTCAAACAAATATTATACTGCTTAATTTCAATACTAAACAGCACTTACAGTACATGTTTTACTTAATTTGATACTGTGCTGTATTTACATTTACATGTCTTTTTTTCCACATCCTTTTGTCCATTATGTACAGGTAGTGAAAGCTTTTGTTTTTCCCATGAGATGATACCAAACTGTCTTACAACATAAATCACCAAACAGAGCATTATACAACAATAGTAGTATCTGCCAGCTTAGGCTTAGTGCACCGTGTTAGGCTGGATGCAGACATTCACGCTAAAGGTTGTATAAAAATCACAGGATACTACACACTGTATACTTTTTATAGACTTATACGTTTATATAATATGCATGATTGTTGAATAGCACTCATTGGGAAAATACAAATAAGATTTTCGGACTGCGCTGGTGATCATAAATACGGCTTTAAAATATCCGTCAATATTTTTTGAGTGAAAAATGTTGGATACTGTTCGGGAAGCGGCTCTACTTACGCTCACAAGCATCGCCTTTTTGATGAAAGCCCGCTTTGCAGATGCATTTCCCAATAGGTACCAGCCATTCCCCCTCGGCACTGCAGTGCATCTTGGGAGAGTTGTCAGCCTCCTCTTCTGCCTCACTGACGCAGGTTCCTTGCACCTCAACCAAGGACGAGAATTCCGACCCAGTGACTGTGTCTGGAAAAATGGCCAGATTCTCGATAATTGACCAGCACTTCTTGTAGTACACTTTGACAGATACCAGAGCTATACAGGCTCCTACGTCCTGAAAAGCTAAGTAAAACCCTCTTCTAGACAGGGGCCCAATTTCGCGTACTTCAGTATTCAGTTTCATCTTCCTCTCCCCAAGATCGCCCTGGGTAAAGCTTTCATCAGCAGCAATAGTGTCTATTTTCACATACTGACTCTCTCGCATATTCCTGCCGATATCGGAGTCCGTTTCTTGGTAATACAAGTTGAACGTTTCCTTGCACGTCCCCAGCACACCTGGTAGACTATTACAATCCCTCAGTGTGAACTTCAGTTCCACGAAAATCCTCTGAGCATTGCCCTTCTCGATCCAGTTAGTCCGCAGCCAGTTGTTCTGATTGGGCTCCATAACCTGGCAGACCTGATAAGTTCGGATGGGTGTGTAGTTTTCATCGAGTCCGCTGATTTCTTCCCACTAAAAGGTAAAATGTAGACCTTGATACCTAAATTCATGTTGCAAAGGTTTTACTCTTTTCCTTTCAGGCTACAGGCCCGTGTATAACTAAATGCTGATGGTAAAAACATACATCCAAAACAAATCAATGAACTATTCTACTCTCTACTTATACTGAAAATTTAACATTGACAAACTATAACAGTGAAGTTATCAAGTAAGAGTTATTGCATGATTCACTTATAATACATTTGTAGTAATAAGAACTACACTTTTGATTTTTAAGGGAAAGCTTCAATGTGAACAATATCAACAGGAATGCTGCCTAAAAGCAAAGAGTGGAATTAGTGGAATTACAATTCTAATTATGTTTAATTTTCTCCTAGAAACAAAAATGAACATGACCATAAAACATAAGGGATTAATAAATAACAAGGGTGACATTCACACATCTGAAGAACAATATAAAGATTGGAAATATTCATTCATGATTCATATTTAATTTATTTTCCACAGACCTTAATATTGCGTGTTAACAAACCAATTTCATTAGAAACTAATAAGTACAAAGGTTTTATAAGTAATATAATGTTATTCTTAATTATAGCTTACAATGAAATACTGCATAGAAGAATGTAACTATGATCACAGTTCCACACAGGAAAGTTTTTCTAATATCATCTGCAGTGTTGAACAATTTTAAAATTGTCTGATTCTGCCTTAAAGCAATAAAGTAATACTGTATCAACAACACTATATAGTTTATATATATATATGCTGTATGTCAGGTCCATATGACTCAAATCTGATTTTTCTTTTTATATAGAGTCATAAAATATGTTTATGCTTCTCTAGACAAAGGTGTTCTATTTTTTCTCTTCATAGCCAAAACGTCAAAGAGCAAAAACAAATGTTCCACATTCCAGTCCAGAACATTATCTTAGAAAACACATGACAACAGCTAAACAACAGTATCAGCCACCCAGCAGAATGTCACCCACTACACAATTTTGGAATGCTTTTTCTATCGACTTCATTTACATAGACAAACAGTCTGCAAATGGCCTTTTCTGGCCATTTGAGTCACAAGATCAGTAACACTCTCGAAGTTATCTACAAGACGGTGACGGCTGTGGTGAAATTGTTCAAGTCACGAAGAATGATTCACTTAGACAAGAAGCTAACAGCTAATGACTACAAACATGTCTTTAGAATATTTAGCAGGGGACTGGTTAATCGCACAGAAGGGAAAATGTATCTTTAAAATGGTATATATTAATTGTCTGGCTTTTTAATGTTTACGTTTTTTTTCATCTGGAAGTACAGTACTGTGCTGTGCACTTCGCAGTGAGACATTATTGGCTTTAACATGAATATAGGTCTCAAATGAGTCTCCGCAGCAATATTATAAAACTTCATTTGCGATTGCAATATTTATGTTTCAGTGCCGATAGATGTTTATTTGGTGGAAGTGTTTCACTTGCCGAAAATGTAATCACTACAAAAAAATAAGAAAAACGGGTAAATCCAAAACTCTTCCCGTTTATCCTCAATATAAAAAATACGGAAGGGCTGCAAATGAGTACCGCGACATATACAGTAACCCTGCCCGTCAAATATAGATTTACCTAAAAAAGGTGAGATTGTCATGAGAGGATATCGGTCGCAGTAAAGGTAATTTAGTACTTACCCCACTAGGAGGAGAGGAAATCCACTCCAATTCTGTCTGCTGTGCTTTAGAGTCCAGCAGGATTACTGTGAGAGTAAAGGGAGGAAATAACCATTTTGACCAAATGAAATAGGCAGCATAGGCTAATCAGCACCAGTACTGCATTTAAACTATATATATTTTTAATTTTTCAAGTTCTTACAAATGCAATTTTAGAAATGCAGTCATTAAACATTTTAACCTTTTTATCCAGTCATAGAAGGCAGTCACTGCCTCCTAATTAACAAATTGGCATTCATTTTCCCTCAAAGATGCCTTCGATAATCTCTGTGCAACGCAACTGGATTACAGATCACACAGTTTGTATTGTGCAGCTACTGGAATTCCGTCTACTGTAGGATAGGGCTGAAGCAACGCCATTTATTTCGTATTTCACCGTTACATAATATTTCATTTCGTATTTAAAAAACTGCTCCATTTCCAGTTGCTCACTTGGCAGTACACGTAAAACAAAAACTTTCGTTTTTCTTTCCCTTTGAGCCAATCTCCGCGCCGAAATCAAAAGACACTTCGCCTCCGGCCAACGAAAATAATTTTCCAACCAAAAAACACAGTAAATACTACTGTTGAAGCCTCTCAACCTGTTTAAAGTATCTCATTATTAGGTTATTTTATTCAGCAATAGATTCGAAATGTAGCTGTATATACAACAGGTTTTATATTTTCTCAAATGGATTGCCGACTTAAATATAAGGATTTTTTTTATTTCTGTGAGACGTCAGCATATACCGCAGAATTTATTTCTGAGGCAAAATGAACAGAATAAAGCAACAACACTGTCACTATGCTTACATTATAGCCATTTGCGCTATAAATGTAATCTGCTTCCTGTGAGCTGGACACTTTGTAGAACATTTAAAAAACACAAAAACTTCTGAGATTTATCATTGCAGAAACCGTACGGCATTTTAAACATTAAGCGTCTCTACGAAAACGTGCATTACACAGTATGTTTCGCAGGATTTTCAGTTGCAAGTACGTATGGTGTATTAAATCTTCTCTTGTGAAAACGCTGCATTTCGTATCGCGCGAGCTAATTACTGAAGTGATTTTTGTGTTCAGGAAATTAATAAAAATATCTATGAATTCATAAACATTGCAACCTCTTCAACCGCAAAGTGTTACGGTTTCCGTACATTGACGTTTTGAACTTTTTTTATGAGCCGTCTCCAGCTGCTTTAGCGAGAAGCAAACATTCTTAAAACTTCACCTAACACATTTTTCAGGTAGAATACAAAAGCATGTCGGAAACCGCATTAGGTTGTTAACTTTCAGACGTTTTGCGTTGTCTATCATTTTCGCATACTTTTGGTGCAGAATTCGCACAAGACAAAAGTTGAAGCGGCACGACAACGCTACGGAGAGGCATATGAAATTTGAACACTGCATGTAGACGTTATGGTCTTTACATAAGAAAGATAAATATTTAAAGACAGCAAAAAATGAGGTCTACCATTATCCCCATCTCTCATGAGCTGTCAAACGCTTTTAAGCACCGTACCTTCTAACACCTCGTAATAATGTTGCTACCCATTGAGAAACTAGCACATCTCTTGCCTCGAATCACTTCAGAACACTACCGCAGCAATATTCAGATGAGGATGAGAAAGAGAGAGAGAAAAAAACTTTATCGAGCTTACCTTCTTTCACATTTTGTGCTATCCCGCTGTCCATGTAACGAAACAAATTAATGCAAAATACAATCCACACAGAAGGAATCGCTGTCGAGACCATGGTGCGATCGGAAGTTAGCTAGTCAGTGTCTGGTTTCCAACTGCTCCGCCGTGCCATTGACAGCGCAAGACCAGCTCTGAATGCAGCCTCCACTCGTCTCTCACTCAAATAGCAGGAACAGCTGCTGGGAGGGGACTGAGCCACAGGCAGCGTGAGCGATGGAGACAGCGTCCAAACACAGCCCCCCTCGCCCTCCAAGGTGAGTAACGTCGGGCGAATGGAAGGAGGGCAGAGGCGGACTTCGTGTGTGGGACACGGGGAAACAACTTAATAACGAGAGAGAGCCGCCTCTGAAACTTGGCGAACCTGCGCCGGAGGAATTCGTGGGGAAGCTGTCCTAGCCAGAAGAGGAAGACCGATTTTCAGATGCATTATTAACTGCTTGTAGATCTCACTCCTCCCTTAGTTATTTAGGCCTACAGTTAGCGCAAAACGTTTTCATCTAAATGAAAAAGGTTTTGTTTTTTTTTTGTTTAATTTTCGCACTGGAAAAGATTTTCTTTGGATGAGCTGCTGTATAACTTTGATGGGATGACCTAATACGATTTTATTTGGCAGAGGAGGCAGAATGGTAGTTTTATCCCTAACATAACGTACAGTACGTGTGTGTTGTGTGGTTTCAATTTGCGGCGTCAGAGGGGTGGCTGCGAAGCAATATGCAGTTGTAAATGTCACGATGGAAAGGAAGAGAAATTAGCGGTTCGGCAGCCGTGACACCAGCGAAATGTTGTCTTCTTTCTTTGATCGCGGAATTAATCAAAGTAAAGTAAAAAGGAAGACATTTTGAAGCATGGAAAAGTTTTTTTTTTTAAATAAAGACCTCTTAAATGTTTTGCACACGCATGGATTTACAGTATGATTCATAATATAGTGTCATATCCGTTGTCTTAACATGCTAACGCATGAAGCTGTAGGTTCTAAAAAATGTGAGCAAAGCATTACCCTTTCAGTTCGTTCTGTTGCTGACCACCCGCTATAATTGACTAGTTTTAAACTTACAAAAAACACTTAAATGTATGTATTTGAACAATGAAATATGGTGATGTATGGTACATAATGACTCGGAGGAGTATGTTTCACCTAATAGTGATGAATAAACCTTTATTAAAAGCTCCCGTGGTGCCCAGAACCCATAAAGTCAATAGCAAAACAATAAGAGTGCATTTTTTATGTATAATATACATATACATCTATATAATATTAAATACTTTTACTTATTTGTCATGATTCTCAAATGTTTTAATATGATTTGTTTCTTATGCCCTAATGTGTATTTTGGAGGGCAATTTTAAAAGATTTATTAATGTAAACATGCACCTTCCATTTCAGGGGCTATTTATATAGTGAATGTGAAGTACCTAAGCCAAGTGATACCTTTTGGTCCAGCTGTGTTGAGGGTGAATAGTCCCCCACTGGGACTATAGAGGGAATTAGTCTCTAGGATGTGCGGCATTATTTGCTCCATCCCACAGGCACAAAGAGGGCTGCACTGGTTCTCCATCTACAGAGGCCGGCAAGAAATGGACCATGGCGAGTCCGTGACACCTGCTCTTCCTGAAAGGGCCAGATGTGTCATGGGAAATGACCATCCCTTCAGTGGTTGAGCAAACATTAAGGAAAGAATACTTTCCACCTTCTAGCACGAGCCTGTAAGAACTCAGAAACTAAGTAAGGCTGGACCTAGTCAGTAATGGGGTGTAAGATGGGGAATCCAGCTTCTGTTGAAGTCATATTGTAGAATCCATAAGAGGCACTATTTCCCCTCGACCAGAATTTGCTAATCAAAAGCACTAGTACGGTGACAGAAAATACTGTGCTGTTAGATGTACTCTCTCACTTAACATCTGATGAGATGTAAAACAGAAGTCCTGACTACTTTAGGAAAACGTATAGTCAGATTTCATAAGCTAAAAAAAGGCTGGGCCTGTTCAGTGCTAGGATGGAAGGCCACCAAGAAAAAGTCAGGGGACTGCTGCAGGTGACCTTGGTGAACTAACAGGTGACACTTTTCCCTCGGGACTTTTTAACCCAATGCCCCAGCATGGTGACCAGAGACACAGTGCTTTCCTATTCATGAAGCGTTAAATTGAAGTCCTAATTACCTGGTCATTAAAAATCCCATTATACAGTTCTTAAGAGCAGGGATTTTAACCCTGATGTCCTGGCTAAATTGCTGGGCTTGCACAATCGGTCTACCTAAGGTTTCTCCTTGATTCAAATGTTGAATTAAATTGTTTCTTCTCTACCCGATATGCTGTGGGTCTACTAGCACATGAGGGCCGCCGTTTATATTAAAAACACTTTGGGATCCTTTAGAATCAAAAAGATCTACACAAATGCCGATAAACTATATATAGAGAGCACAGAGCTCTTTATTACAGTCCATGACACTGCATGGGGCCAAATACTCAAGGGCTGGTGCCTTTCCCTTAGACTTATGCATTTTTCCAAAGCTTTCCCCTGCCCAAGATGGTGGAGTGCAGAACACGGGCGGGTTGACAGGACCCCTGCAATCACTGGAGCAGGATCAGCTGCTCATCCTGCCTCAGACAGGATACATTAAGCTCAGAGTAGAGAAGGAGACAGTGTTGACAAGCTGAATCCTAGGAGATGCCCTGTCAGATCGCCCAGCTACAACCAGCACAGACCGAATCTATTTTACCTATAGTTCTGTGGAAGAGCTCTATTAGCTATGCTTATTTTTACTACAGGACAAGATTTTCACTTTAAATCTTGCGTGTGGGGTGTGACTGTGCTCGAGGCCCAGCTAGAACTTGTACTCCTGTTGTGGGATGCTCCACAAGACATCACAAGTCCATCTATATCTTTAAAAATCTCTTCATTTATTAAGTGGCCATATGATTAGATTAGTTGTGTCTGCACTAGAAGTATGCTGTTTCAAACATTTTTGTTCAGATGATGACATACTGTATAAAGTAGTGCTTTAGAACATGATTACAAGGAGTGAATTATATTGCAGGCACCCCAATATGAATCCGTTGTAGTTAGATCCATTGATTCTATTTTATGAGCTGCAAATTTTATGAGGTGTAAAAACAATATGCAATAGTAATAGTAAGTTTTTTTTTGTTTCACCTGCTTTTCAAGTGCAATTTATACAAGACGTCTTCACTTGTTTATCCTGAAATGGATGTTACTGTTATTCTTTTTTATTTCACTGAATTTAAATATGAAATAAATCCTTTAATAAAAATATTGAACTTTAATAAGTTAAATTTAAACTAATTAAAATTAAACCCTATTAAAAATTATATATGACTGATTTGTGCAAGATCAAGAGCAAGAAAACGATTGGCTCATGATTACTTTTCTAGATAATTTAAAATTCTTTTAAAAATATAAATGTTTGGAAAACTACCGGATCAGATTAAGTCACGTGGGGATTTTGACAAGTTTTTGTGTACTTTGGAGTTTTAGAGTATATATCAAAATGCATCATAACATTATACAAAAAAAAAGGATTCATATGAAAACAAATAAAAAACAAAAGACAAAAGAGTGTGACAATGATGTATAACAGTTGTGAAACAACTGTACAACAATAAGTTGTTAGGGAAAATAAGTATATACTATTTAATCTAGTTACTTGTTATAATGAAAATTATAATAACACATATAGTACACTGCGTGCATTCTATGAATGGACTATGTACTGAATTAAAAAAGTGCAATTGAAGAAGATAAAAAAGTTTTGGGCACAGTATACTGACACTTTGTTAGATACAGTATATCACTTTTAATGCCTTCATCATTTAAATCTGTAGCTGTTTCCTGAAAAAAAAAAGTAAAACAATTTACAAGTTTACTAAAAAAGAATACAAAAAGTCCATGAATTGTTCCCTTTATCCAATGTTTTCACCATTACAAAATGCTGTTTTTTTTAAAAAAGATAAAATCCTAGGAATTGCTCAAAAGTCATGCCAATGCCATAAAAGAGATAAATTGGTAAAAAAAATCACATTATTGTCTTACTCAAAAATACAATACAGCATTGATATTTATTTGATATACAGTATATATTGCACCATTACCAGAATGTCTATGATACTTGCTTAAGTTTGTAAAAAGGGGATTTGCAAATTACTTTTCAAAATGTGAGTTTAAATCTATTTGCTTTTCAAGCCCCTTGTAATTGTCTGCTTTCCACCTAGTTTAAGTAATTCCACCCTTGTAAAGGGCTTCTAGTAAGAACTAGAAATCCAGATAGTAATCTCAAGATGCCTGATTCTAGGAGGTCAGATTTCAGGTAAAATTGTTTCATTTGGCCAAATCTAAAATACGTTTATGCAGTTATTACAAAACAGAATAACAGACTAACCAAAAAGCTTTCTTCTTTGGTGGAGAACTGTATAAGACGCATTTGCGTTGGAGAGCAGAAACCTTTGTTTTTGGAAAGATGAAATCACAAGAGATCATCATTTTTGTGGATGTAGTTGTAACAGTGCAGTCTTCACCGGACAATTTGTCAAAACTCTGATTACGACACATTATTTTTCCCATTTATTCATTGTGGCGTTTTCTACAAAAGGCAAAGGGTCTAGATGAGACTTTGACCTGCCTACCAATTGCAACCAATTGCAAATTCTGAAATCAGTACTTGGTGATGGCTTTGAGAGGATTTCTCTTCATCAAATATTAGGCAATTTGGAACAAAGTTACCTGGGATAGCATGTTGTGATTGTTTGAATACATTCAGTGTGGACTATCAGTAGCAGCAAAAGAAATGTTCATTTCCTTCTATATTAGGCTCATCAGTTTTTGAACCACCTTCATGTGTTCAAAGCGTGGTCATTTTTTATGCAATGGCATGAGACCTTAAGATAGCAAGAATCCATTGTAGCGAAAGTAGTGTGACTTGGATTTTAAATTCAACCTTGCACTTTCCTGCATGAGAGGTCTGAAAAACAAGATTGAACTGCTGGGGTTTTAAGTGAAGCAAAAGAATCAAGATAAACACAAAACACAATTAAAAAAAGTTTAAAGTTAATTTACAGTCTCTCAGATAGCTTGACAAATCACTGATAAATTAATCTATGAAAAAGAACTCATTACCCTTCTACATGTACTCTGTTTGTTAC